TCTAAAGACTCCAGCATACTATATGCTATAGCTTAGGATACAGTTTTTTCTGAACAATGAACAGGCAGGTTAATACCGTGTGTAGTTGAAACACAACTGTATTCTTGATTCCCAACCCACACTCCTGTGATTACAGTGGAAACAGAGTCCAGGAAAACACACTGAATAAACACTGGGCCAGCAGCATCTAAAATCTGTTAGCATCGTAAGTCAGACTGACTGGCAGAGGAGCAGCATTCCAAATGCAGTGCTATTTTGAAAACACCCAAGGCCAAAAATGAGGGGTTTGTAAACAATGATAGCACATTATCTTTTCCTTTTTTTTTTTTTACATAAGGTTCATTTTTATTATTTTTAATTATGGGTATGGGTGTGTGTCCACACATGAAACAGATGACCAGAGGCTGGAAGTCTTGGTTTGATACCTCCCAACCTGGCGTTAGAGCCAAGTGAGCCATACATGGGTGCTGGGAACTGAACTCAGGTTCTTTGAAGAGCAGTATGCAGCACTTACTGCTGAGCCATCCCTCCAGCATGCATTATCTCTTCTTACTCTTTAGTTCAAGGGGAGAAAGGAAGGACTGGTTGTACATAAGGCTTGTCACTAAGGCATAGCACTCAGGATAAGCAGAGCCAGGCTACCTGAACGCCAATGCCTATTCCTACTGACATACTTATCAACTCAGTGGAATGTTCTAGATCTCTATCCTCATCTCTAAGGTATCCACTATTGGAAGTTCAGGAGGTCAGGGCACATTCATTCTGACCCTTCTGAGTTAGAAGCTAAGAAACAAAAGCAATAGGCAGAGGCCAGAGATGTGACTCAGTGGCAAAACACTTACCTAATGTGGGTGAAAGCTGAGGCTGAGTCCCCAGCTTTACTCGTCTACACAGCTACTGCCACCAGAAATGGTACTAGATAGTTTGGTAGGGATTAAGATGATATCTTTATCCAGGAGGTGGTGGTGGCACACGCCTTTAATCCCAGCACTCGGGAGGAAGAGGCAGATGGATCTCTGTAGATTCGAGGCCAGCCTGGTCTAAACAGCTAATTCCAGGACAGCCAGAGCTACAAAATGTTATCATTGAGCCTGGAGAGATGGCTCAGTAGTTAGGAGTGTGTATTGTTACAATGTGAGCTTGGTTCCCAAAGTCCATGACCTTTCTACCTGTAATGTTCCTATCTACCTGTAATTCTAGATCCAGGGGATCTGCCATCTCTGGCTTCTAAGGGCACCTTCACTCACGTGCATATACCACACACAAATACATAATAAGATAGTTTTAATCTAGATATTTTTATGTGTATGGGTGTTTTGACTGAATGTAGCTGGTGCCCAAGGAAGGCATCAGATCAATCTCCTGGGACTGGAATCATGATTTATACATGTAAGCTGCCATGTAGATGCTAGGAGTCAAATGCTATTAATCTCCGAGCCAGCTCTTCAGCCTCTAAACCAGGTTTTATTTGTTTAGGATTTCACATTTATTATTGATAAAAGTGATATTGGAGGGTATGACTGAAGTGGGAACCCTCTAACCAGTCACTGGCACAAATAAGCAACCACAGGCAGCTACTAACAGTGTATGTCCTTTCTCCTAGGGGTACAATGCCTGACACAGCATGGAAGTCACAGCACAGAAGTCACCATCTGAGCTCTTTCCCCTACTCTGAGGAAGGATGAGTGGCAAGTGGAGGAAACCGAGAGAGCTAGGTTCCTCCAGATGTTACCTGTCTGAGGGCACAGAGGAAAACTACTTGTCCTCTTGAAAGAGAAGCTCAAGAAGTGATTCTCTTCAGTACTGTCACATGAGGTTGTTATAGAGGACAGAGAAAGACAGTGGAGTATAGAATGCAGACTCCAGAAAGATCTCGTCCATACCATCAATCCTGGGCTGGCAGGGCCAGTCAGGCAGGCAAGGCTAGTCAACTAAGGAAGTTGTGGTTTAAAGGCTGCATGAAGCAACGAAGCAAGGGAGTTGCTTGAATGTGCTCTCTCCTGTCTTCCTCATTCCTTGCTCTTTATACTCAAAAGCAAGATGGGTCCTCAAAGGCGAATGCTGAACAAATACAAACTGCAAAGAAGTCTAACTACCCCAAAGGTGTATATATTCGATGATGTACCAGTTCATTAACTCTGAATGCACTTTAGCATTTCCTTAACCTCACCTTGATCTTTGATCCTCAAGCATCATAAAAACGGGGATTACAGGGGTGCACTGTCACAATTAGCTGCACTACTTCTGTTGTTTTAGAGTCTAGAAAGGAGGGTGCTATTTTGTGCTTTTGAAGACAGTCCCTCTCCCCACCCCTTACATCTAATACAGAATCATTGGCAGGGAAGTTACTGGAAACACACAGGAACAGTGTTGGGGAAAGCCCTGCCCATTTGGTGAACAATAGTGATTCCATTGAGTACAACCAAGGAGATGACAAGTTGTGTTGATAACACTGGGTGCTGGGTACCATACATCAGCAAGGTCATACTAACCACCTGGTCTGCCGCAACCAATCCCAGATAATTGGTCTGATGGAGTAATACTGCAGGTTGTGTGGACACCAGGGGAAAAGCCCAGAAGGAAGAGGAAGCTGGCCTGTGAGCCCAGGGTTTCTCTTCTCTGTACTGAGTCATCTTTTGGTAAGGCACCAGGAGAACACCTGCCCGAGTTTCTGAAGCATGGAAAACCCCAGCAGCCTGGCCCCCTGATAGATTTTAATGGGGTAATCCCTCTCACCAACACCCCTTCCCCCCCCCACATTGCCGTTAATGACTCCAATGGTTTAGATCCTTTTCTTTCTCTTTCTGGGAGGAGGCACACAGATGGTACAGACCCACACTTCAACGTGGCTGAAATAAACCTACACAGGGTTGTCATGAAACCTGAGGCGTTAAAAGTTTGCTAATTCCCGAACAGCCAGAATTGTTACAGAGAAACCCTGTTTCAAAAAACAAGCAAACAACAGTTTCCATATTCAGCAGTAATGGCCAGTTTGCATCCCTCCTGCTCCCGCCAAGAATGTTTTCATTAGTCAAGCAGAGTCAGGCGTGGTGCTGCATGCCTTTAATCTCAGCACTCATACCAGCCAGGTCTACATAGCAAGTTCCAGAGCAGCCAGAGCTATGCAGACAAGAAAAAAAAGAAAAAAAAAAAAAAAAAAAAAAAAAAAAAAAAGAAAAAGAAAAAGGAAAAAAAAAGAAAAAAAGCTGGAGCTTTGAAGATGATCAGGTACTGTTATAGTCCAACATAAATCATGCTGACTGTTAATACTGCACTGTTCCCATGATGCACTGGACAACTACGAGAAAATCAGAGTCTTGGGGGGTGGGTGAGGGATCAGGGAGTATGCTTGCAAAGCTGAAACTTTAGGGAACTCACTGGAGCAGCATCAGTGTACAACCTGCAGCTCAGGAATCTCAGGCAGGATTGATTACCTCCCTCCCCCATTACATGTGGCTGCTCTTGGTAGAGGGACTTTTCTGGTTAATTTTGATAAGGAGTGAGAGCCTTACACTCTAGCTAGTGTTTAATGAGCATTTTGTGTTAGTATTAAACTGTCACAATAGGACTACTGTTTACTACATTGTACCAATGAAGAGTTAACAATACAGAGAAGCTAAGCAATATTCCCATTAGTTGTACTTACTGTGTTCACAATACTTAGCTCAGGAAGAAAACCAACACTTTACTTTTCATAGTTTGTTTTCAAGGATTCAAGAAAACTCATAGTGTGGGAAAAAACATTGGAGTCAAGTAGGTGACACCTTTGATTTTGCAGATGGAAAAAGACCTGAAGAGGATTTGGGCTTATTTGCCCTAGTCCCACTGAATGATCACGATCCAGCCCACCAATCCCTATTGTGTCTCTCACACATCTTTCTTGTATTTGAGGGGGTGCAGTAAAGAAACTGCCCACCTAGCCACTCCATTAGGGGGAAACTGTTTTTGTTGGTGGTAGTTTTTTTTTGGGGGGGGGGTAAGAGAGAGAGAGACTATCCAGAGACATCTGAAGATTCCAGAGCAGAGGGAAAAGAAAGTAGATTGGACATGGCCAGGGTAGGGAAGTGGGAGAGTAGGAAAGAATAATGGAGAATGCAAGGGACAGATCATAGGCTGAGAGCTGCAGACCTTTCTGAGGCTGGATCTGGCCCTTGTCAAAGTTTGTCTTGAAGTCTTGACACTCTAGGTTCAACTTCTTGAGCGCTGCCAGGATTGCAGACTTATGACACCATGCCCAATTTTTAATGAATGGATTTATCTTGGAGTTATTTTATGTATGTATTTGCTGTGAGTGTATGGGCACAAGTATGTAATGGTTGGTAAACATGTCTCTCCAGGTAGAAGCCAGAGGGGCCTCGGGTCATCTCCTCTACCACTTCTCATCTACTCCTCCTTTGCCCTTTCTCAGCTAAACTGGAAATCAGCAAGCCCTGTTATCTCCCTCGGAGCTGAAGTTACAGGTTTAACATGTGACTGCTGGTATCCAAACTCCCAGTCCTTATGAGTACCCCCAAAGCACGCTTAATCACAGAGCCATCACTCACTTGGTTTTTGAGACAAGGTTTCACTTGGAACTATGTATCTCAGACTTGCCTTCAGCAGACGACTATTTGCCTACCTCACTCTTCAATCCCGCTGGGATCACAGGTAACTGACACTATGTACGCAATTTATTCAATTCATTTGGCCTTTCAATTATCCACTAGTAGTCCCATGTTCTTTTCCTGTTAGCATTTTTTTTTTCCTGAAAGAAGTTAAATAAGAGAAAGAAGTAAAGAGAGAGGAAAAGAAGAATCATCTGCCTACCTATGTAAAACCAGAAACTTCCATCTATCAGATGACCAAAGGTACCAGGCCCTCGTCAAATATGGCTACCCAGGCCTCGGCTGCCGACGCTTGCCCTTAACCAACATGGTGACCACGTGTGGCGTCGACTTCCGTCGCCCTCAGCCACCAACCCTCCCTTCGCGACGGGGGCGGCGATCTTCAATGACGGCGGCGGGCTGAGCGCATGCGTGGCGGCGGCTGTGGCGGCGGCGGGGCGGCGGGGAGTCACTGCCCACAGTTGCTAAGCTGCGGCGGCCGTGTCGTGATGGTGTAGCGGGGCCTGCGGGCGGGCGGGCGAGGCGGCCGGCGCGGCCCACGCCTCCTGAGCGGCTCGGTGCAGCGGCGGCACGCTGAGGGGGCGTCGCCGCCGCTGGCCCCCGGCGCCACGGGAGGCCGCGCCCGCCATGGCGGCCCGGGTGGTGCTGGACGAGTTCACGGCTCCAGCCGAGAAGGCGGCGCTGCTGGAGCGGAGCCGCGGTCGCATCGAGGCTCTGTTCGGCGTGGGCCTGGCGGTGCTCGGCGTCCTCGGGGCGGAGGAGCCGCTGCCCGCGCGCATCTGGCTGCAGCTCCGCGGCGCGCAGGAGGCGGTGCATAGCGCCAAGGTGAGTCCGGCCTGGATCGCCGGGCCGCGGGGCTTAGTTAGCGGTTTCATCCCGGGAGCCGCGGTGCCCCCATTTGTAAAGGTTGCTGCGAAAGCATCTCCCTCCCTGGTCCCTCGCGAAGATGAAAGTAGGCGAGGTGCGCAGAAGGCAGAGCGGTCGGGCCCGGAGCACGCGCGCTGTGCGGTCGCGCTGTCGCTCCTCCAGTCCCTTGGATGTGCGCAAGGCTCGAAGCTCCTGGCTGGTTTTCACCCTCCAGGCCGCCACGGCAGGGTTTCCTAACCCTTTGGAGTTCCTAGGCCCTCTTGGAAGTCGGGAGGGGGAAGCATAATGATAAGTAATGGCCAGACACTTCAGAGGTAGGATGTTTTGTGGCTGCGTTAAAAATAACATTATTCCTGTATTGTTGATGTTCTACGATTGTATGATGCGTGTACCACATCTGACATTCCGCCGAGTACCAGTACAAGGAATAACGCAGCCTTTAAAAATCCAGCGAGGACGCTGTGATAGGACTCTTTTCCTTCTATTAAACGAACAGCTGGAGAAACTGAAACTAAGCGGTGACTCACCTTGTGTCTGTCTATTCAGTATTTCAGACCTCATACCTACTCAACACCGCCATCAGCCCCTCCCCTTCGTCAGAAAACAGTAGCGAAATTTGAATGTGACGCCTTCTATGCCTACAAAATCTCATTGAGCCAGTGAAATAGCCAAGGAGTCGACAGGTTGCCTGGGGAAAGCGACATTTTAGTTAAGTTTCTATGCAAGAGAGTCCTACAAGACCTGCGTGGGAGAAAGGCATAATGGCTGAAGCTGTATGGTATAGCATCTTCAGCTACAGGGGAGGAGTAGAAAGTTGAGGGATAAGGTGGTGCTTCCTCTCCTGCGGTATTTGGAGGGTCAGATCTGGGAACTTTGGAGAAAGCCCCTCACTGCACCTCCCGGTTTGAAGCCACCAGCTTTACTTCCTGAACACCTTCAGGTACTCATGTTTCTCCAAACTTTCCCGTCTGTAAGGCACCAGAATTCATGGGTCAGGTATTTGTTTCTAGAACCCGAATGGGTGATGCTTGTCAAACAACTTAGCGCTGGGGAGACCTTTTTTACAGACTACATCACAAATTTCACATTACTCTTGAGTGATTGTAGCTCCTGATGTAGTTAGATTTAATTTTAAAAGAAGATGCTACTGTTTAATGTGAGTAGTCTGTAAGGCACTTGTATGATTCTTCCCAGTGTGGGCTGAAATCATTGATGTTGGATCCAGTTGGTTTTCTTGTGCTTAATTCCTTAAATGGGTTACTTGATTTTGAATAAATGGTATAACCCCTTACTGTTTCCCTCCTTTCTCCTCAGCACCCACTCTTTTATTATTCAGGGCTAAAAACATGCGTGAAGCCTGTCAGCTCTAAGTTTTCCTCCATGCACCCATTCCTCTCCTTACTCTGGCCTTTGCCTTCCGTTAGGGCTTTTTTTCCCCAGTGGTGTTCCTTCTGGCTTCATTGCTTGGATTGCATTGTTCTCTTTCTCTTAGTTCACTTTATATTAGACTGTCATCTTCCTTCAGGAAGTCCTTGTCTTGTGTGCTGGGACCTGTAGGGCTTCCTATCAGTGTGAACTGCCCTCTTAAGAGAAAACTGTAAGACAGTCCTGCTGTGGTGACCGGCTGAATTAGTCCTTCTAGCCTTGCCTCCGAGCTCTGAGAGTTTGGCATGTGCCATCACTAACCATGTGCCATGTTGTTTTCTAGTGTGTTAGACTGATGTGTGTCTGCTCTGTTTCTACCCCAGAGGTAGAAGGTGCTTCCCTTCTACCTTGTCTATCCTGCCAAACCTAACCCCAGTTCGCTAGTGTGTCTGCTAGTGCCACACAATGTAGCACAGCCGATGGGAAAGGTGTGTCAAATTTTGGTAATGGTAATGTCACCTGCCCTGTTATCTTTTCAACATATATTACTCATAATGTAACCTTCCCACTTACAAGAGATCCTTTTTCCTCTCCCTTGAGGTTCAGGGTAAGAGTTGACCGCTACAGCTTGTTTTACTTTGTAACTTTTTTTGGGGGGGGCGGGGGAGGAAACTGCTAACTTGGTATGAGAAGAAATGGCTTTGAGGGGGAAACACAGCTAAGAAAAGTTTAGCCAGGTGACTGTGGTGAAACATACCTAGTCCCAGAACTCTGGAGGCTGAGGTGTGAGGTTGGTAGTCTGAGGTCAGCCTTATCTACACAGAGGAACCCAATCTCACAAACAGAAGTTTTTATTTTTGATGGTGCTGAGGATGAAAGCCAAGGCCTTGTATACACTAGGTAAGCTGGATGAGCACTCTTCCTTTGAGCTATACCCCAGCCCAAGAAGAGTTTTAAGCAGCTCCTGTGGGGTTAAGGGGCGCAGCTCAGTAGTAGAACACTTTGTAGCTTCAGTCCGTGTCTGTGCCAGGAGAGAGAATGAGAGTGGGGGAGGCCACCTGCTCTGGCTCTCAAGGTTGGATTTTCTGTTACAACTATGAGAGTGGACTGTGACTTAGGTCTCCAGCAGTCCAAGGGAGGCAAGTGGGAGCTGCTGTTTGAGCGAGGTAATGCCCTTGAGGGTTCAGGAAAGGCATGGACTCTAGTTCTGTGTGTTGGAGGAGGCAGCATTTTAGGTGGACTTTGAAAAGCCAGGCAGATTACCAGGTACTTCATTGTTGACAAAGATGTGGAAGCCAGAAAACCACATATGAGGTGGAATGTCATGACAGACTATGCCAAGGTCCCTTGTGAGATACGATGGCTGGGAAACATGATTGCTCAGCTCAAGACCTTGGATATTCAGGAGGGGAGTCAGTGAGAGTTTTGGCAGGAAAAGAATTTGCCTGAAATTCCTGGATGGGTAATTTGAAGACAAGAAGGGATCCAATAGTGAAAGGAATACCATTTTAAGGTAGAGCTGGAGTTGGATAGGTTGGCAAGGGTCGTGGGACCTGAGTGGAAGTAGGGATTTAAGGTAGTAGGAATGGCTCATATTCTTTGACATGTTAGTGATGGGGCTTCCAGGGAGTCAATTTAAATTTTTTTCTTACTTAGATTTTGCTGTGTAGCTCTGGCTGGCTTCCAACTGGAGATCCTCCTGCCTCTGCTCCTCAATGCTGGCAGTATGGGCATGAACCACTACGACTAGCTGGTGGTTAGCATGTGGGGAAAAGCTCACTTGTGAGGGAGTCAATATGTGGTTGTCCCTTATCCTCATGGATCACCTAGCCTGGTAGGAGAGGGACATGGACACAGGACAGTGTGATTCACGCAGCAGTTGACATGTGTTCAAAGTGTTGCAGAACAAGGAATGACATTTGTTCTCTGACCAGAAAGGCTCCAGAGGGTGAAGGAGGGGAACATGGGCGAAATCACAGGTATCTGAAAAGTGCACTTTTACTCAGTTCCTTGAGTGAAGAGAATATGAAGGAAATTTTGAGAGGTGGGGAGGGTATCTGGCCCTGCTGAAGTCTTTAGTGTGAATGATGGAGCTACGAAATGCCCCAGCATTTATTCTCTGGACTAGATGCTGCTGCTGGTTTGTATGATGCAAGTACAGATATGTGAATGATGTCCAGCAACTTGACATTACTCTGGGGGCTTAAGAGGTAAGGTGTGTCTTGGCTAGTTTTATGTCAACTTGATGTGCTAGAAAATGCCTCCATAAGATCAGGCTGTAGGCAAGCCTGTAGAGCATATTCTTAGTGATTGATGGGGTAGGGCCCTTTCCATTGTGGGTGTGGTAAACCCTGGGCTAGTGGCTCTGTGTTCTTTAAGAAAACAGGTGGAGGGAGCCATGGGACGACAGCCAGTAAGCAGCACCCCTCCGTGGTTAAGCATCAGTCCTGCCTCCAGCTTCCCACCTTGTTTGAGTTTTTGCCATGGCTGCCCCGGGTAGACTGTGATTGCATGTATATATAAACCAAATAAACACTTTTCTCCCCACGTTGCTTTTGGTCATGTTGTTTCGTCACAGCAGTATTAATCCTAACTAAGACAGTATGAGAAGATAGATAATCTGGAGAGGACTTACCCATGGAGGAGAGGGGGAGAGGCTCAAGTTTATATTTTTTAATTCTGGTACAAGTATCAACAACAATTCTGTGTTAATACTCACACCACACCACACATATCCCCCCCCCCCCCCCCCCCGTTTTGATCTTAAGGCTGTGTAGCTCAAAATAGCTTGGAGCCTTCAGTTTTCCTGCCTCAGCCTCTCACATGCTGGGATTAACAGGCCACATCTGGCCACATTGATACTCTTTGTAAAGTCACCCACACAAAACACAGCTGTCAAAGGAAACAAGAGGTCATTCAAATATGAATGACTGTGGCCTAGGAACATACATCTGGTTGCCCTGAATAACATGTCTATTTTTGTTGTTTGTTTGCTTGCCTGTCTTTGAGACACGGTTTCTCTGTGTAGCTCTGGCCATCCTGGACCAAGCTGGCCTTGAACTCAGTAATTCGCCTGCCTCTGCCTCCCAAGTGCTGGGTTTAAAGGGGTGTGCCGCCATCACCAGTATGAATAACATGCCTTAATATGGAAATAGTTACATAAACTTTCATTGTCAGAACAAAAGACAGTCATAAATCATCTAGGTCTGGCAGCACACACCTGCAATCCCAGCATTCTGAGGCAGAGGCAAGGAAGAGCACCACACATTCACAACCAGCCTGGACTACATGGCAAGTTCTAACCCAGCCAGAGCTATCTGGCCACTGTCTCAAAAAAAAAAAAAAAAAAAAAGGTCAAGATTCAAGGAAGTGTGCCAGTATGTTGCCTGGAACTTGAGGTGGCTAGCTACAGCAGGTGGGGGAAATCTGTAGGTCTCAGATGTTGTTTGATAATGGTCTTGGCTTTTGGGGTAATGGGAGCTAGTGTCCTGCTAAGTTAATGCACCCCAGAAGCTTTATCTGTAAAGGATGTCGGTCAGATGGGTGGACAGCCACCGAAGGGACTAAAGATTATCCAAGATAGTTTGCCTGGG